ATTCAAAATTATATCCGTGGTTCCAAAATTGCATTGGAGCTCTTGACGGCACTCACATTGAAGCTCAAGTCAAATTTGCTGATAGATCTAAACATCGCAATCGACATTTTACATTATCTCAAAATGTACTAGCAGCTTGTTCATTTGACATGAAGTTTCTCTTTGTTTATGCGGGAATTGGTGGTAGGGCACATGACTCTTATGTTCTCACCAGAGCACGTGAGAATGGTGCTTTCATTGTACCTGAAGGTGAGTATTTTGATTGATACCTTCAAATTCCATTATCTGATGTAATTTGGTTTCTAGGAAGATACTATTTAGGCAATTCGGGCTATCCTCATCGCCCAGATGTGTGGATCCCATACTCTGGAACTCGATATCATCTTCAAGAATGGAACATTGGAAACCGTGCTCCACGTACTCCTCAAGAACTTTACAATTTACGGCATGCCATGGCACGAAATGTCATTGAGCGCATCTTTGGTGTGATGAAGATAAGATCTCAAGTGATGAAATACATGCCTAGATATGATCTGGAAGTTCAATACTCACTTGTGGTAGCATGTTGTGTTCTACACAATATAATACGGGATGCTGGACCAGAAGACTCTTTCTATGACGAGTTTGACAGGCTGCAAAGGGAGCAAGAGAATACTCAAAATGTAGAATGGGCACAGGCTAGAGCAAACAACGAATATGAAGAACCCGATCTTGGCATTCAAAATGAGGCACATGCTGCTCGGGATGCTATGGCACAGGCAATGTTTGATGATTACATGGCTCATCCTAGAAGGCAATGGAGATGAAGTATAGTTTTATTTGGATTCAAATAGATCAAATAGTATTTTAATGTTTTTGATTTCATGAAACATACTTTGATATTCATTATACTAGACCACAAATTATCCTAGGTACAAATTTATAAATCTAACTGCTAGCAATTTCACTCTTGAGCCATTCCCATCTCATATCATCAGGTAGTTGGTTGAAGAAAAAAGCTTTTTCCTCAACGTTTAAAATGATAGCTGCTCTCATTTTGTCAGCTCCGTGTGAGATATTGTCTTTTACTTCTGATCGAAACGTCTCCATCGCCTTAACTTGGTTTGGATACTTCTCCACCTTTGCCTGAATGCGACTTTCGTTAAATCGAAGGCGCTCCAGTGCATTGGCCTCTGCTTCAGCTTTTCTTTCATTTCGCATCTTCTCAAGTTGAATATCCCGTTCATAATTCATCATATCGATTTTAGCTTGACGTTCTTCCCTAGTCCTAATAGCTTCCTGACGATCGGACTCCTTAGCAGCCAACTTTTCCTTGCTGACTGTGGCAAGAATCATGAGGGCATCGGTACTGCTAGGGTGATCTGCCTTCTTTCGATGTTGACGAGGCTTTGGTGAACAAGGCGCAGCTCGTTTGGCGTTGATTGGCTTAGGTGGAGGAGAAGGTGAGGTTGGAGGAGCTGGGGACGATGGTGATACCACTGGTGTGGTTGTTGCTGTATCGATCAACACCTCTGATAAGTGAGCTATAGAACAAAAGAGTAAAAACAGATTAGATCAATAAAAACAATAAATTACAGGATGATTGTAGAAAGATACATACCTCCAGTGCCTTCTGATAGGTTCACTTGTGGTAGAACACTGTCATTACCATCAGCATCGTTGACTCCATCATCTAAAGCCAACTCCTCTGCAGTGAGCTCGTTGTGCTTTGTTTGTGTCTTCTTGGCGACTCGACTTCCTCGAACCATCGTGTCATCCGCATTTCGGCCATGCTCAAGCTCATTCATGATATCGAAATTAGGAAACCCTTTGTTTCTAAAGGGTTTGTACTTCGGATTGGCCTATTGTGCAACCTTTATCAGCATAGGTAGACGAGATGATCATAAAAAGCAACTCACATCAATTTTCGTTTTCCACCATGCGTCTGAGCCAGTGACCATCTTCTTTTGGTCATTCCAACCGGCGCCAGTAGATCCCTTAAGAGTCATAAAAGTCTTATATGAAATACGTTGCTAAGGAACATATGAATCAGCTTGATCGACCAGAGGAACAAACAAGGTATGAGAAATAAACTCACGGATTGATAATGATTCTTCAATGCTAGTGTCAAGTATTGTTCATGATAACGCTTATTGAACTCGTCGGTTACTGTTTTCCAAGCTTCTTTTTTGAACGTGTTCTTGACTCGAAGTCCAGCCGCGGTTTGTTCCAAGAGACCTCGTAAGATGCACTCGCTACGACCCTCTCCAAAGTGCGCTTGAACCTTATTCGTGTCTTTAGACATCACGATGTTAAAAGATGGGATAAGGTGTGATGATGAGCGTTGATGAGCAGGTTTGTTGAATTGATGGTTGATGATCCAATACGAGCTTTGTCGAAGACAAGTTCAAGAGTCGAGGTCCAAATCCTAGAGACCAAAGAAGAAAGAAAAAACTGGGATCAGAAAAGACAAGCTTGAAAGAAGGTGTTGTGCGAGGTGATTGAAGGCAGAAGAAGATGTGTACTTAGCGAAATTTCGAGGCAATAGTCGTTTTATAATGTGTTATTGGACTTGAAAGTTGCTCGAAAGTGGCTTTCAAAATACCAGATTATTGATCGAAAATAACAGATTATGGCTAGTAAAATGACTTTTGAAAATGGGGGCAAAAGCGAGAACAAACGAGATTTTTTAAAAAAGAGTAAAATGCATTATTTTCAAAAAATAATGCATTTTGCCCGGTTTTTGTAAGCCATACCGAACGGGGCCTAAGTCTCGTTTGAGCCTGATGATAGCTTGGCGAAGTCGTTCCTCCTCCGCGTCTCTTGTCTGTTGGTAAGACGGTTGAGGTGGAGGAGGCGGAGGTAATTGGTTGTTGCTCGTTCCAGGAGTAGGTTGGTGTGCTCGGTGCACAGGAGACGGATGTGGTGGGTAGTGCGGTTGTTGGTTGTACATCGGTGATGGGGCCGGCGGGTACTGCGCCACCGGAGCTGGAAGGTTGGGGTGGTAGTGTGGTTGGTAATGATACCCCGCCTGCTGTTGTTGGGTCTAAACGTAACAAGGGTGTATTTTGGTTAGTTTCTTTATCTTTTGCGAATTTCTCAACTAGTCTTGGGTCAGGCTTACCTGAGGCTGGTAATGGTGGGAAGAGTTCCACTGGTGTCCGCCTTGATGATCGTGACGTTGGTTCGACGGATCGTTTTGATTTCGTTGAGTTTCGTGCGCTGGAGGAGCTGGTTGACGACATGGTGGTGTTCAGATTGAAAAGAAGCAAGACAAAATTTTAAAAAAATTGAGATAATGAAAATAAGTGAAAGATTAAATAAAATTTCTTGTATAATCTTATGAAGCTTACGTTGTATGTTTGCTCCGTGATGTTGAGCTGGGCCAGCAGGTTGATGACCACCTTGTTGATACGTCTGAGCAGCTGTTTGAACTTGATGTTGATTAGCCGTATGATGGTTATCAATGTCTACAGTAGGGATAATGATGTGTTTTTATTTATGTCAATAGAACGGGAAATAAAAAAATTTTGTATTAGATATAGGTTTTTTAGTTCTTGGAATTGAAAAAAATTAATAGCAATTCTTGTAACTTACTCTGATGGTCAGTTATTAAATTGTCTGGAGGTGGAGCTTGAGATCGCTCGTAGTCTCTCGCAGTAACGTCTGATCCGGGAGAGTTGAGGTCAAGGACTAGTGGGTCAGCTGCCGGAGTCGTTGTGGTGGAATCTACTACGATGGGCTCTTGGCTCGTATTGCCGTAAGCGTCTTCGAATTCTAAAACGGAACCGTCTAAGTTCGTTTCAGGTAACGCCGGAGTGGATTGATGCGTACGATTCGCGTCAGCTCCTTGTTGTTGAGGGGTTCCGTGGTTGGCTAGGTCAAGGGAGTTGAAAAGTTGTGGAAAGGACACTAGATCAAACGATAATTGAGTTTGAGAGAAAGTAATCGAAATGAGATGTGAAAACAATATCAGTCTATTTTGTTACTTTGTATTAAGGATGATAGAGAGAGAAACAAAAAAAAAAAAATATAAAGAGATGAAATGAATTTATTACTCTTGACTTTGTAAATGACTTTAATTAAGTTAAAGAGTCTAGCAAAGTTGAGAGATTGGTTTCGATGAGTGTAATAAGAGTAGCAACTTAATTCTTTTTCGAATGATTTGCTTGTCGTTTGATGGGACTCAAAATCGGTTTGCTTCTTATAGGAGTACTCCTGTCGATCGGACTCGTTTCTGATCCGGTTCTGTATGAAGATCACTATGAGATGACGTAGTAAGCACTCTTTCTTATTTGGTCAGTATGTTGGCTGACTCACTTCTTAATTCGATTTGTGTACTTTGTTGTGATCACTCGTTTGTTTGATGTTCTTCTCTGCGGTGGTAAGTTGGATGGAATTGAATTCAATCTAAATCGAAGTCGAATTAAAGAAGCAGGTCCGAGTGCTTCTTTTCGAGTGCTTCGTTCTTGGTGATACATTCGTGGCTTGATTGTCTGTTTTCGAATGATCCGGTGCTGACTCCGATGTCGGAGATTCCGAAAGATTCTAACTTTTGATTCAATCCCTCTTGTGGTTCTGTAAGTAATTTGATTTCTCTTTCTTCGTCCAAGCTATTATCCTGATTTCGGTTTCTCGGTGATTTTGTTGTATAACGTGAAAAAGAATTGAAAATGAGTAAGAACGATGGGTGAGGATACTTCAATCAACTCGTTGGGGATTTGAAATTCACTGTGTTGTATTGTACTATATGTATATGTAATATTACTCGACTCGTCGATGCCTTGAATCGTCCTTCGGGTTCTATTATGTGTAATGTAATACTCGAGTTAGTATTTCGAGATAGAACACCTCTTGTTTCAACTTTCTCAGCAATTTCAATGTTTCTAGTGAAAGTGGAAGGTAGAGAGAATTAAACTTGTGTTAATTGTTTGAGAAAAAAAAAAAAAATCTTTCTTGTTTAGGAAGTAAACTATAGATAATAGTGTATTGATTTATAGATGTGTACTTAATATAATTGCATGAATCTCAATGAGAATTTGTGCTGTGTTCTTTTAAGGATTGATCACTTGGATTTTATGAAAAGGGGGTTCCAGGTGGTTGTTGATTGTAATTATTGTCTAGTTTGATGATTTACTATGCT